GGCAGGTGCGAATCCGAAGCATGGCCGCCTTTGGAGCTGGCCGGGGTGGGGGTGAGGGTGGCGGGGGCTGGGCTTTGCGCAGGAGGCCTGGGGGGCGGGCAGAGCTGACCCCGGCCAGGGCACGCGGGCACGCGGGCGAGGCTCCGTGCTCTGGGCGGCAGGAAGGGGTGGCGGTGGGCTGCTCGACAGCGCTGAGGCCGCAGGTCAGCTGTGCGCGGGAGGCGGGCTTGCGGCCAGCACCTGCTCGGAGGCGGGGCCTGTGGCTAGAGATGGGGCTGCAGCTGTCGGACTCTGTCCCGGCGCTGAGCTACGTGAGCCTCCTGGCTCTCCGTTCCCACGTGTCGCCCCCTCGGGTGAGGCGTGTGCTGACGGCCGTGTGCTCACCCACCGGCACGCAGGGCCGTGTGCTCTCGCTCACGTCTCCCGGCTCTGTCCACTGCCAGGGCCCTGCGGCGACCTGCGCCTGGGTCCAAGCTGGGTCTCTGAGAGGGGCCAGGGCCCCTCCAGGAAAGGGCTGACCGGAGCTGGGCAGGCAGCGCCAGCTGACCCCCCGAGCTCGTGCATGTGCGTGTGCATACATGTGACGTGTGTCACAGGACATGGAGCAGAGCGAGGCCCCCAGTCTGACTGGGTCGGCTCAGCTGGTGCGCCTGAGAACAGCGTTGTGTTCCAGAACACCGGGAACAGCACCCACAGGTCCATCCATGGCGCGTGTGTCGGAGCCCAGGGGCCAGCGCTGGGGCGGCAGCAGTGGCAGGGGAGAGGCCAGCGCAGGAACCCGGCCTGGGCCTCAGGGACACAACTGTCAACGTGGAGACACTGGGCCGAGCAGCGATGGGGAGGCCAGGCTGGTCGCAGTCTGGAGACAGGTCAGCAGCCCCCCAGGACAAGCCTGCCGGGCACCCGCTGACAGGCCCACCACACACGGGACACCAGACGGCAGCAAGAGGGGGGGCCTCCGAGACGGCACCGTGGCGGCTCTGCCTGCACCAACCGGGCTGGGACGGAGCCCAGAGGGCAGGGCGCGTGTGCCTGGCGAAGGGAAGTCCAGGACACCCGGGGACAGGGAGCGGGTAAGTGTTTGCCCAGGGCTGGGGCGGGAGGAGGCAGCAGAGGAGCCAGTGTGCAGACTCGCGTGTGCCCAGGAGCAGCTGAGGCGCGGGCTGAAGCGTGTCAGGGTCAGCATGGGCGGCACTGGCAGGGTGGGCAGGGGCTGACCATTTGCAGTGCAAACATGTCCCCAGACGCCGCAGATGTTTCCCATCAGGAAACGCAATCGGAGAACCAGAGCAGCCACTGTGAACGCCTCTGCTTGCTGCTGTGCTGGTTATTGGGGTACAGTCCCTCTCACCACAGAACTTAGCTCCTTAAGAGTGAGCAACTGGGGGGGGGGGTCAGCACATTCAAGAGGTTGTACAATCACCTCCTCTACTTCCGGGATACTTTCAGCCCCCGCCACGGAACCTCAGTACTTATGAGCAGTCGTTCCTCATCCTCGCCCTCACCTCCAGCTCCTCGCAGCCGCCCGCATGCCTCCTGGCTACACAGACCTGCCTCTTCAAGAGACTTCTGCGAAACCGGACCTCCATGTCTGGCTTCCTTCACAAGGCATCATGTTTTCACAGTTCGGTCATGTTCTAGCATGAATCTGTACGCGACTACTTTTTATGGCTGCGTAATATTCCACGGCACAAATATGCCAAAGTGTGTCTCAGTGAAGCTTCTGCGATTCCTGCCAGTCCTGCTACCATAACCACTGGGGTGTGAGTTTCTGTGGCTGTTTTCAGCTCCCTCCAGGACGCCCTGGAATGGCGTCGGCCCTTCCTGACGGCCTGCGAGGCTGCTCTCTGCCGAGTCTGCCCCACCTCACAGACCCACTGCCACAGGGGCGAACTCTCCCCGCCCTGGCCGACATGCTACTGTCTCGAGTCCGGCACCCACGGCTGACATGGCTTCGGTTCGAACTTTCTCGATGGCTGCTGCATGCACCCCCTTCGTTACTTACCAGCACCGTGGATCTTCCGTGGAGAAATGCCTGCTCAACCTCTTTGCCCAATTATTCACCTTTTTACTGTCAAGCTCTGGTTGTTCTTTGCGTATTCTGGACATTGGACACTCACCTCTGATTTATAAGTATTTTCACTCCTCCTGTGGCCGTCTTCACTTTCTCCACAGTATCCTTTAAAGACTGTTTAATCTGATGGAATCCGTTTATCTTGGGGAGAGGAGGTCACTCGTGGTTGGGTCACTTCTGAAAGAACCACGGCCTAGCCCGCGGGCACAGAGACCTCCGTCTGCTTTCCTCTAGAGGCTCAGCTCTCACATCCAGGCCTTGGAGCCGACGGGAGTGACCTTTACAGGGCGCGAGGGGAGGGTTCGATTTCCCCCCCATGTGTGGACACGCAGGTGCCCTGACCCTACTGAGGAGACCACCCCTCGCCGCCGCACCCCGTGGCCATCAACAGCTGCCGGCGAGGTGCGGGCTGGTGTCTGCCTCTCGACTCCACCACCCCTGGCCCGTGTGCTCCCCCCTCCCCCCAGCGGACCCAGCCCTTGGTCCCTCACGTTTCTGTGTGCATCCTGGGGTGGGGTCTCCCTCTGCAGGTGCGGTCCCGAGAGGGGTGGTGTTGACTCCGAGGCAGCGCAGGGAGAGTCTGCACGTTTACCTGGGTCTCTACCCGGTGGCCTCTGCGGCCTTCCGGGGCGCGTCTTCACGCGCTGGAATTTTTCATGCCTATTCCCTTCTCTGTGCAACTGTCTCTCGCCCTCGCTCACGCCCGGGGGCTGCAGCGGCAGGTCTGCGCGCTCACCACAGCCTGCACGCATCCCCAGCTCAGAGCGGCCCTGGGCAGCGCCTTGGGGTCTTCTAGCTACAAGGGTGAGGCGCTGGCATCCCCGTCCCCTGCCTGTGTCCTGGCTGGAACCTCCACGGCCAGCTGCAGACCAGCAGTCCTCCCGGACCTGGCCCCAGGGAGCGGCGCTTCCCGCGAGCTCGGGTGTTTTTGCAGAGGGAGGGAAGGAAGCGGCGCTGCAGGGCAAGGGGTGACCGAGAGAACCGCCCAGGCGGGCAGGAACGAGGCACCAACTGCAGATAGGAGGGCACGGGGGGTGAATCCAGGTTGGTGCCAGGTGGGCGGGCCCGGGGCAGTGGGGCCTGAGGAGCAAAGCTGCCGCGGGCAGGAAAGGCAACCCTGGCCAGTGGGTGGACGCCCCGCCGCCTCTACGCTGAGGGCACTGGGCCCCCCTGATAAGCCCCCCGCCCCGGGGTCCTTCCAGCAGAAGCGGGGCGCAGACGAGGGTGTGTGAGCTGAGGGCGCGCTGCTCGGTCTTGCAGTTGAGCACCGGACACTTGTCTCTTCGTCCAAAAATGGGTGGGGGAGAGCGAACTGTCCTTTGCGCTCTGGTCTCCCGAGCAGCAGACCCCCCCTTCCGCCTCCGCACCCCGGGGGAGACAGCAGTGCGGCCCGCAGGCCCGGCGCCAGAGAGCGCGCACGCGGGGCTGGGCAGGTCTGGCGTTTATTCGCGGCGGTCCCGCGGCGCTGGCTGGCAGTGCAGAAGGCCCAGCCCAGCAAGTGGCATCAGTTACAGCTCTTTAAAAACCCTGTCGACAGCTCTCAGTTGTTTCTTTATATTTTAGATTTTGACAAAACTTTTTTTAAACAAATACAAAATAATCCAAGAGGAGAAAAGCTATACAAGGACCATTCACACCTCTGATAAATAGACTAACGCTGGTCCAGGCGCCTCCGCCCAGCAGTGTCCATGAGAACCAGAGCCCCGGCCCGGCGGCGGGCACCACCCGCACGGCGGGCAGCGCCTGGGCCCCGGCCCCCCGGGCCTCCAGCCTGGGCCTCCCCTGTCACCTTCTCAAGCTCTGACCACAAATGCCTGGAGCCGCTCCAGACAGGACCTGCCCGAGGGGGGCCCAGAGGGGCGCACCCCCGGGCACTTGCACAGCAGCTATTCCCAGAAATGCCCGGAGCTGGGGTCCCGCTGCCCTGGGGGACCAGCGGCTCGTCCACCTTCTTCCTCGAGGCAGCTCCTGCCCAGGGCGACGGCCCGGGCCCCTGCTCACCCGGACTGGCCTGCCGGCCCTGGCGAGGCCAGGGGCCGAGAGTCCCTGAGAGAATGCGGAGGGAGGACGGGTGCTCGCCCCTCCCCGCAGGCGAGGTGGGTCTTCCCGCGGCACCCGCCCCGCAGCAGGCCGGCCCAGGCGGGGGCGGGCGGGCCAGTGAAGCGCCAGTTCTGAGGCAGAAAAGCTGAAGCCCGAGGGGCCGGGTCAGACCTGCCCCACCCTCTAAAACGAGGACGGGGTTTGGGGAGAAGAAAGCCAAATAAAAATAGCAGGTCATCCCAGAATCTCTCGGGATTGCCCCTCACAGTTTTGGTTACTCGGTATACGTAGCTCAAGGAAAAGGCTGACTTTCTGTCCTAAAGCCCAACAGCAGTGAATTTTGAAAGAGAAAGAAACCCACGTGTCGTCGGTTCCCCTGTCCTGGCGCCCGGCCCTGCCCGCCCAGTGGCCCCAGGCCCCTGCGGGCTGCCCCCCCACGCCGACACCCCAGGGTGTGCGCCTGGGGTGCGGGAGGCTCTGGCCGGGCCGGCGACCAGGGCGGTGCAGCCAGCAGCTCGGCTTTACCTTTTTCTTTTTTGCTAAAAATCAAAAATATATCTTTCCAGTACGTGGCTTCTCTTCCATTCCACCTCTGTCAGCACAGAGCAGCTCTGGGCGCGCGTCTCTGGTGCAGGGCCGAGGCGTCTCCACAGGAAACACCCGCAGGAGGAGCCGGGTCGTGGGGCCGGGACTGTGCCTGAGAGTGGAGGCCCAGACCTCTCCCCGCGCGCGCCCCTCCCACCTAAAACTAATAGCAAAGCTGAAGCCGGGGGCCGGGGGCCGGGGTCCAGGGGCCGGACGCCGCCGGCAGGACCACCCGCTTGCGGCCCTCTCTGCCGAGCTCGGGCACGGAAGGGCCTGCGGGCACACAGCTCTGCTCCGCGGGGACTCAGTGTCTCTTCGTGGACGAGACCTTCTTCTTCCGTGCAGCCAGCATCTCGTAGAAAGGGTCCCTGCTGATGGCCGCCCTGGAACACAGGGGGAGGCGGCTGAGGACAGGGCGGAGGGGCCCCCGCACCCTCCACCCTGACCGTCACCCGCGTGGAGGCCGGCCCGGGGCCACCCCTTCAGCCACACCGAGGGAGCCACGCGCATGCGCGAGGTGGCCTGGGGTGTTACTGCCCGTTTCCTAAGAGCCAGTTAAGTTCAGGGCAAGAACAGCACACTCTCTCCCAGGCTGGCCTAACTGCCGGGACGATGGCGGCCCGCTCCAGAGGGTGAGAGGAGACCACGCAGCCTCGGCCGCAGGAGCCCAGCTTCTCGAGTCCAGCTGCCTGGGCCTGAAGACCAGCACCACCTCTGCGGTCTGGACAACCTAAGTCCGCACTGTGCCTCAGCGTCCCCGTCTGCTCCCATGCTGTGCTGAGTCACGGGACTGGAGAGCCAAACGCCGCCCCTGGGGCGCCCGTGTTGCGGGGGCCGAGCCAGGCCCTGGCACGCACACACTGAGCCCTCAGCAGCCCCGAGGGCCACCGGGGCAGCAGGCCAGGGCTGGGCAGGGAGCCTGACCCCATAGCTGCCTGCTGTCTGGGTTTGTCTCTCCTCACTGCTCCGCTCAGGGGTGATTTTGTGACAACAAGGTGCTGCCTCTGCCTGCGTCAGCCCCCCTCCCGCCTCTGCTCCCTGAGCCCCGGCAGAGACACCAGGAGACGGGGCAGAGACGCCACGGCCCTTGGGTCATGGCCTAGTGGACAAGACCCACCACACAGGCCACACCAGTCTGCAGGCGCGTCCCGAGGCCCACGACGGGCCAGCGGTGCCCGGGAGCCTAGGCTCGGGTGTCCTCTAGGGCTGCGGTGGGAAGCAGGCGAGGCACGGGGGGCGCTGGGGTCACGGCTCCCCAGGGCGGCCGCTCACTTGATGCACTTCATCCACTCCTCCTGCTCCTCGGGCGTCGGGGCCGAGATGCGGTAGACCGTGTGGTTGCCTTCCACCACCCGCCCGTCCGCCTCCGTCTTACAGGCCTTGATCACTTGGTCTTTATTGTCGGGGATATAAAGCTCAAAGCAGTTCTGGAAATTAAAAGAGAGGGAGGAGGCTGAGATCTAAAAACTGCTGTTTTCAGAAAGGCTGAAAAGGCGACTTATCTTCCAAAGCCTCTCTATTCTGACCTCCATGAAACACGGGAGATGTTTTCTCCCAGCGAGAGAAGACCCTTACGGCAGAATTCTGGAGAATTTAAACTACGTATCAACAAGCCTTTCAGCCAAACTGTCACCCCGACACGGCCTCCCGACACGGCGCGGCACCCTCGAGGCCCGGCGTCCGCAGCCAGGCCGGCGACACTCCAGCGTTCCAAGGCCGGGGCCCCACGGCAGGCGCCACTCTCCAGCCGGGGCGGCCGGCACAGCAGGTGGGCGGGAGGCGAGGTCACGGGGCTCGCCTTGGGCTTCGACGCTAAAGACAACTTTAAAAGCCAGGCAAGATTAGAGGCCAGCGCTCGTCAGCGCAGCAGGGGAACCTGCAACCTCACGTCTCCCCAGAGAACCACTCCCACCCCACGGCCCCCCACGCGTCTGCCCGGCACTCACTGGCTTCTTGGAGTCCTCCACCTCCCGGATGCTCAGGTTCTCCAAGGGGATGATCCCACGGGGCTCCTTGTCCTGCAGGTTGGACAGAGGCTCCTTGCTTGGTCTGCAAGCATGGGCCCCCCCAGACCCCACCTCCCTTCTCTGCCGTCCCCCAGACCAAGGCCAGCCGGCCCCAGGGCCCACACCTCATCCTCTAAAACAAGAACGGGGTGAGAGCTGCACAGGGGCCACCACCAGACCCCTGCCTGCCACCCAGGCCTTTGCCAGGGCAGCGTACGTGGTGGGGCCACTCCCAGGGGCCCGCAGACGCCTGTCACTTGGAGACACCCCTGTCCCTGCCTGGCCACCCTCTGGCCTCTGCTGATATCAGAAACTGAGAGCCGAATCTCGCCGGCGGTGGCCCAAGGCCACTGCGTTGGGGAAGAGGCCACGCATCGCCTTCCCTCACTGTCTCCTCCCTTATGTTCCCCTGGACGGGCACTGCCCACCTGCCAGCTCCACCTAGAAAGCTCCTAGAAAGGCACCTAAACTCCCGTCCAGGGCCAAACATGCCCCCACCAGGCCACCCCCCCATCCTGCCTCTCCCAGTGCTTCCGTCAGCAAACAGTGGCTCCGGCCCTACCAGGGCGACCTCCGGCCTCGCCCCCTCTCCTCCCCATCCAGCCCCGACGGCCACTCGCTCCAGCTCAGCAGCTCGGCTGCATTTGCCTGGGCACTAGACCTCGGGACGGGCGCCCCTGGAAGCCCGCGCTCCTCAGGGTGCAGATTCTGGGGCGCGCCTCCTTCCAGGGAAGTCACTTCTTTGGATTGCGGGCACACATGACCGTCCCGCCTGCCCTCCCCACCTGCCGGCCTTCCCGGGGTCTCGGCGCTGGTCTTTTTCAGGTGCAATCTCCCAAGTCTGTCCCGTTCTGAGCGGTCCCGCTCCTCAGAGCTCTGACTTACTGGCCAGAAGACGCCCCGTTTCTATGGCTACAGCTCCAGGCTAAACACGGTTTGGGTTCTCATCTGTCGGAAGCTCCCTCAGGGCTGGGAAGCTCGTGTTCTGTCCACCTCCACCGCCCACCTGCCCACCCCCAGCTCCAGCGTGCTCCTCCACCGTCGACACCCCATCAGGTCACGGTGCTTCCGCCCCCCTGGGGGTGGCGTTCGTGGCTCAGCCTCCACGGAAGGTTTCCGAGCTGAACGTGCAGTCGGTGCTTTACCTAAGCCGCGAGCCGTTGTCTCCGTCCACCTTCCCGCCCGCCGATCTCTGCCCGTGGCAGACCAGCACTCCTGACCAAGGACGAGCGAGCCCCGGCGCAGCCTGCTTCTCCAGGGGAGGGTGTGTGGGGCCCGGGCTGGGGGCAGCGCCCTGGGCGGGGGGCCGGGCTGGGGGCAGGGCC